AGCATGTTTATATATATATATATATATATATATAGAGAGAGAGAGAGAGACACACACACAGAGCTCTGGAAAACATTAGAAGACCACAGCAAAAAGTATTTATGAGTCAGACCAGTTTAATAAAAAGAATAATAATGAAACTTGCCTGCAGGGAAATTCTCTTTTTGCTCTCCATGACATACAGGTAAGCTACCTGCAGCAGTACCCATGGAGCTGGGGGTTAAGGGCCTCGCTTAAAGGCCTACAGACATGTATTCGGCCGAGGCCAGGTTCAAACTAGCAACCTTCTGATCACAGACACAGAGGCTTAGCCTGCCGAGCCACACGCTGGTCCGAGGCTGGAGGAACGCATTAGCAGTTAGCTATCTGCCTGCAACTGGCTTGATAACCCAGGAACGACTGCACTGTTGGTCTCAGTCTGCAGCAGTGGCTCCCAGTCCTGTTCTTGGTCCAGATACCGCAAAGAATGACGACCCTGTAGACACCACGTTTTTAAGATAGGAACCATAACAGGCCCAGTGACCACTCAGACAGGGTTTACCAGATTCAGTCTATGTTAATGGTCAATAACTGCTTTTTTACATCAGTGGTTCTCAGTCCTTTTCCTGGTGCCCCTTCTGCCAAAATGTTTTCATTCCAACCCTGGCCAGGGTATCCATGCCCCTCCAAGGGCCCGGGCTGGACCAAAAAGAACAGGCCTGAGGACCGTCACCATAGCCAGTGCAAGTCCTGGGGAGAGCTCGAGTGCAATGCCCCCCCACGTCACAGGACAAGGGATCAGAGATCAGTCACAGTCAAACAGGACGGCGGACACCAGGGCGCCTGGCTCTGCAGACTGGCGACCGTGTGACGGGAAAACGCCGTGATGCTGGCAGACGAGATAAGGGGTGAAGAGAAGCGCGACAAAGACGTGCGGCAGGGGGCCAGGACAGGCGAGGGACATGGGGAACAGGGGACATTTGGGTGACGGTGTCAGGCGGGTGACAGATAATTGACAACAACTAGAAGAAAAAAAAAAAGCAGGGAAACAAACCCAATTCACTCTCAGAAGAAATTAGCACATCTTTATTTCGTGGCTTTGTTGTTGTCTGCAGAGTCATTCACAGCACTGATCTCCGTGACCACCTGCGGACACCTTCCCAGCCGTAGCCTTCACATTGTCCATACTTTAGTCTTAGCTACTTCAAAAAAATAAACATTAAAATAAACCAGACTTTTAAAAATTTGCCAAAAGCAAATGATTTTTTTTCCTCTCTAGCTTATTCTCTCTTCTACCTTTGAAATCTCATGCCAGCAACTACTGGAGAAGTAAGACTAGTTGGCAAAAAGGAGAACATCTGCCATCCTTCTCTTCCTGGAAATCCAGCCCAGACAGACGCAGCTCTGACACATCCGGAGAGGTTCCTGAAAGGAGGGACTCTTCACCCCAAACTCAGACGTCATGATGAGTCCCGCACACACTCGCGTGAACGGGGCCAGGTGCCAATTTGAAGCATCTGAGATGTCCGTGGAAGTGTAGTGCAGGACCCAGAATCCCACAACATTATTATCGCCCCCCCCCCTACCCCCAATATCCAGTCTCAGGACTCTCCCACTACTGAAGAGAAAATTAATTTAAAACTCTGACATATAAAGTTATTTATCACCATTTTTGGAGGCGGGACGAAGAAGGCAGGTGATGCTAGATGGCTTGTCAGTCTGTCAATCTCCACATTCATCCCCCCCCCCCAAAGAACACAAGCAAGGAGAACCACTAACATCTCTGTAATGAGTCTTTTCTTTCCCCGAAGAGTCCTTATCGATGAACTTATTTACAAAATAATTAAAATGACCACAAAACAAAATGCACATACAAGCACATACAACCCCAAAGGAGGAAATCCTGACATTCTGCAGTCACTCAAGCTCTTCATAGACTTCAAGCTGGTCACTAAAAGTAGCCGTCTAGCTAGTATTTTACATTCCTAAAAAAAAGGGGGAACGTCCAAAAAAAAGAAAAAACAAACACGGACCAGGGGGCATTTCTGAGCCGGACCCAAAGCTATGGTAAGTGCTCTGAGGAGAAACCAGACCTATGAAGGGTGCAATTCTACATTGGAAGAGCATGAGATCCAAGACGCTTAGATATGGCTGCTGGCTTTGCAGCACGGAGGAGGTGTTGATATCCGTGGGGGAAGGGTTTCAATGCTCCTAAATTGTCTGCCTACGTTCAGCTCTTCTGCAGGGCACGGTCTGCAGGGCACGGTCTGTAAGGCAGTCTTAAAGCTTCAGAGCACGCTTACCGGACCTTGCGAGTTATCCAAGCCCTACAGCGTGATGCTTTATTGCGAATCCATCTGTGAGAACTATGCCAGTCCCTAAGGAGTGGATGGGCCCCGTCTCGGGGACCAGCAGGGTCCGCTCGGCCCAGACCGCGCGACCTGGTGCCACAACAGTTTCTATGCCCCTCTCTTCCCCACTTGCGCTCTCCTAAAAAGCTAATAAATTAACCCAAACAAAGGGGCCACATTGTGACATGAACAGCAGTAAGAAAAGTCATTAAAAAAAGATGCAAAAGTAAAACCGAGAACAAAAAAAAGAAAAAGAAAAAAGAGAGACAAAGGGCAGGAAATAAACCCCCCAGAGGCAGCAGAGTTCTCCGCAGGACATTCATCATCAGTGTCCGAGGCAGGCTTAACGAAGAGGGGGCCCCGGGCAGGGCTGGTGCAGGCCGCCCCATGTCCTCCGGAGGATTCCAGCCCCAGCCTGCAGAGGGAGGGAGGCAGCCAGCGCGGTGCCCTCTCAGCAGTCCTTCCTCGCGCCCTGCAGCTCCCCTTGGCTCTGCCCCCAGGCCCACACCCCTGCCTCACTGTGGCGCCGTCTCCCCCACCGCCTCGATGCCGTGCTGCTGCAGCTGGGCCCTCAGCAGGGCGTTCTCGTTCTTCAGCTCCTCGATCTGCAAGATCCCCAGGGGGGGGTGCCATTATTCACCCGGCCGGCAGCCACTCAAAGCAGGGGACCCCCCCCCACTATCTCCCACCACATCAGATCTTCTCCAACTAATCACCAAGCCCTCAAAGGCCTGGATCAGCTGTTTGGGTGCTGGAACAAACTAAACATGTGCACTGCTTAGCGGCTCCAGTAGGGGCCGCCACTGGCTGCCCATGTCAGAGTAAATTAACCAAAATAAACCAGTACCTTCTTTACACATGTAATAATCATGATGGACATCCATATCAGAGACACTAAAATCTGAGGCACAGAGTTCCGGGTTTAGTGGTCGAGATGCGTATCAAGACACACTTATAATAATCGTGCAGGACAAGGTGTTACACCATCGTGTGTGAAACGTCACATGGGAGTTACAGATTCGGGAGTGCATTTTTGTAGGGTGGTGGGGAGTCACGTGAAGGTGTACCTGCTGCCGGAGGAGCTCGTTGTCCACCTGGACCCGCTCCACCTCCTTGTAGCTCTCATGTAGCCGCTGGTTGTTCTGTCTGAGCTCCCGGATGTAATCGCAGGCCTTGGACAGGATGCCGCCCTTACTCTGCAGGGGGGGGGGCACAGCACAGATTACTCAGGGGAGGGTACGAGGCACGCATGACGTGAGGGACCCTTGCTGGGTGGGGCAGACCCTCCCACGCTGTCAATCAATGACTCCCCAGGGGTGTCCATTAGATAAGAGCAGGCAGTGATTGACAGCTTGCGGTAGCCCCGCCCACCTCGGCTCTGGAGGCCTCGTCCCTCCCATCGCTGGCAGGACGGCTCACCGCTCCAGTCTTGCTGCTGTCCATAGAGCAGTCGGGTATAATTTTTGAGAGGGTCACAATCCAGTTGTTGATTTTATCTCGCCTCCGCCTCTCCACTGTAAACAACAAAAGGGGACGTTTCAGGGTCACAGAAACAGCCATTACGTCACCGGCTGCAATGCACACTTCTGGACTTCACCGCCAAAGTCTTGGTTCGTGCTGAGCAGCAGCGCCATCTAGTGGAAAAGGGTCAAGATAACATCAGACTGACCGCAGTGAGACACATGAATTTGGTAAAGCCTACATGTCCCTCACCTTCATTGTGTTGTGCCCGCCTCCTCTCATCTCTCGGCGTGCGTGGACCGTCGATCTTCCTGGGCAGTGGGGGATTACGAGGAACGAGATCAGAAACCTTTCGCCACCACAAAACGCCGTCGACAGCCGGATCAGAGCAGCAGAGAGCCTTCACGCAAGAAATCAGTCACTCTACAGATGCGCACGGCAGCCAGAGGGAACCCCCGGCCGGTGGCCTTGGTGGTAGGCAGGACATGCTCTCCATCAGCGTGCCCAATCCAGCGAGCGGCCGTCCAGCCCACTGCAGGTCTGTAACCCTCAGTTCTCCCTACGCGGAGAACCTCATCATCCGCACAGCCACCAGCAGGTTCTCGAGCGCTCCCTGTGTCTCTCACCAGACCGCCTGGGCAAACGTACCAACCTAATCTATCTCTGGCCCAGGAAGATGGTACGGCCCGCCTGCTCGTCACAGCACTGTCCCCAGGACACAGTCACACCACAGATAAGGCGCACGTACACACACAGACACACAGCACAGAAAATAACTAGCATAGTACACAGCATGAATGCAAGAGGATGTATTCTGGTGAATTTAGGAATGGGTGGGGGTGGGGGGGGCACAGCACAGGGTTATGGGGGGGGGGCGCTAGTCTTCTTAGGGGAGTAAAAGTTTCTCACCAGTTTAAACTGTCATGTTGCACTGGTCTGTTTTCCACTCTGTGGACAGCAGGTAGGTTTGGTTTTCACACTCATATTTACACATCATTGGTAAAAAAGTATTAAAAGGCATTATTACAGAAATGTCACCTAGGTGTTTATAATACACACAAAGCAAACAAGAGAAAGGTATTTTCCTAGTAGAAAGCAAGCAGTGGTGGTAAGACATGCAGGTCCTGCTCCTCAGGGTACAATGCATGCATTCACCCGTCCACAGCGGTCTGCTCTGCGTACACCCTGCGGGCCAGAAGCCAGCCTCACTGGGATGTGACCCAACAGGCGGCTCTCCGCACACATAACCAGTGCCGAATGGGTCCTCTGCCCGGCCCCTCGGGCTTGACTTGGAAACAGAGCCCCTCCTCCCCCCTGACTACAGCACCATAGCAACCAAGACTAATTGGATTGGTAACCAGGTTAGACTCGCCATAACCCCGCCCACATCATCACTGCATTACCTGCATTTGGAATATAAAACACTTGACAGAAACTTTTTACAGGTTTTATAGGATCGACGGTCTGAGGTCAAGGGTCAACCCCTCACTGCAAAGCAGAATCAGGCTTAAAGCCCTCTTAGAGCCTTCTGCACTGGACGCCATAATTGCTGATTGCAGCAAGGGAAATCCACACATCAGAAACACTTAAAGACACCAGATGTCTTCAGTGCTGTATAAAAGATGAATTTATACACCTTTTCTCTCTCAGGTGTAACAGCTTTGGGGACACAGAGGCACAGGGTCCTATTTATAGAACGAAATGCACCTCCGTCGTTCACGCTTATATCCACAATGCCGACACACTCAAAGAAATGACCTACAGTCTGAGTGTGCTTATGGGAAAAGGCCCATTGAAGGCATCGTCTGAAATGCAGGGGTGTGAACCCTCACTTCGACAAACAGTCACAGGAAAAAAATTAGACACTGTCACAGCCTGTCTGAACGGATCATTACTTTAGGTTACGGGGGTGAGCAATTTAACAAGGAATTAAAGGGAAGATGGGTTCAGGACCAGTGGAGAGATTCCACAAGGACCCTCCATCTGAGTGACCTTAATTTCAGGGAGGTGAGCTACTATCCAGACCATCCCAAGATGGCACCATTTCCGGAATGCCACATCAACACTTGAAAATGGTGGCCACTATGGGGCGCAAGGCACTGTAAAACCAGATACCCACGTGGAGTAAGGGTGAGTGCGTGGCGCGATGGTCCGGGGTGTGCCGGACTGCAGGACGTCAGGGGGGGTCATCATCACATAGAACTGGCCTGGGGGATAGACGAGAGAAAGCCCGTTATGGTGCCCATCCCTGGTCACAGGGTTCTGCTAATAGCATAAGGAGGGTGTGGGGCAGCCTCTGTGGATGCCTATAGAATTACACAACACAGGAAGCGTTCAGAGCGGCCCGGCCGGCGTCATGATGGGTATGGCGCTGACTCACCCCCTGCCTGCGTGAGAGATGGGTCGGCGGCGGCCTGTACCGACACAGCGGTGGCGGTCCCGTCGCTCACCGTGGCGGTAGGGAAATAGGCAAAGCGTGCCTCGCTGGCCACGGACTCCCCCGCGGGGCTGCCGCCATTACTGAAGGGGTTCTGGATCACTGCCTGTGAAGGGGGTGGGGGGGGGGGACGCAGCCATATGGTGAGCCCTCTACAGACCATGCGGGCTAACTCTCTGTCAAATAGATTTCTCTGCAGGAAGGCGAAAGCACAGCTCACCGAGAAACATACTTCATAAAGCCAAGTAATACAACACAGTGCTCTACTCGGCGTACTAAGCAGCTAGACAGTTCTAGACCTGATTTAGGGGTCTGTTTTGAGCTTCAGTCCCCCCAAAAAAATAATTATTCCAAGACCATTTAGCAATTTGTTCTGTATTTTCGTGTACATTTTCGTGTACCCCCCCCCCAGCAAATTTTTACGGGGGAAACGTCAGAGGCAGGGGCTGCTGTCCCATATTTACTCAAGGGGCTGCGCCACCCCAACTGTCAAACCCTAAAATCGGCCCTGCCGTCCAGTGAGGCTAAAGATTCGGGTGTCTGATTAGCTTTCTGAGCTAAAGCGACCACCGAAAATATCAGTTACCCGGGTTGCTAGCTGGCAAGGCGGCACGCAGGGAAAGTAGTGCTTCGACATGACGTTTAATTCGAAGGCGAAAACAGGAAGTAGGGACATTACATATGGAGCAGAGGCAACGAGGAGTGGGAAGTGAAAGGGCATGTGGAGCTGGATGACGGGATGGCGGACAGTCTGGGTACCTGTGCGACGGCCTGCGGGTTCCCAGCGAAGGCGGCGGTGGACACGACACTGACCGCCCCGCCTCCGTCGTCCCCCGCCTCCAGCTGCGGATCCGTCACCTGGACGACGCGGTACGTCACCTGACCACAGGGGAGAAGGGCTCGACCTGTAAACGCTTCGAGCTGCCGCACTCCCCAACGTTACTAGCATTCGCCCGACGACACTCACTACCATATCTATCCGTACGGTCTCTCATTAACCAGGATCAGGTCAGGTTAAGCACTATGTATCGTCAGTAGTACTCAAACCTACAACCTTTACGGTCACAGAATATGTCTCTAGCCACATCACCAACCAAAAAATACCTGCCATCAACCTCTCCGTAACCCTCATCGTGCAGCCCTTCCATACTATTTGCTGCTTGATTTCTACTGTGCGTGTTTGCATTCTGACTTCATTGGAACTGCTCTGTAATTACTTATGTGACAATGGTGCGTTTAAAAGCTGGTTTTAGTCAGAAGTACTATGTTGAAGATTTGGCTTCTTCTTGGCTATTTTTAGGGCCAAGGCACCACCCCCATATCATGTGACACCCCCTTCCAACATGACACATGACACTACCCAAGTGCCAATCCTGCTGATGGACTGCAATCACATGACTGTCCACGGTAACTGTGACCATTGTGACTACAGAAAACCAGCTGCTTGATTTACCCCACCGCCCCAGTCCTTTCTAATCACAACACTACTGAGCAGGCCTAAAATGAACAAGATCAGGTCTAACCAGTAGATATTTAAAGTAAACAAACAAATGTGTCTCACTATTAAATCAGGAGAACGGTACTGAATGAGGCAGCCGTCTGTACCCCCCCCCCACCGCGCCAAGAGCAGCCCATCAGGCTTTGAGAGGGTGTGGCCCCCCCAGGACTTCAGAATCCCGTCTTACCTGCCCGCCGCTGTTCTCTGTGCGAAACTGGTACTGAATGTTGTGATCCCCGAAGGCTGCAGGCTGAACACTCGCTATGGTTACCGCGGCCTGTTCCCCACCCCCGGCACGGTCTCCTGAGAGCACAGATCACAAAAAATAAAGCTAAGCAGAGGGGGGGGGGGGTGGTTATGGAATGGAGAAGGAGCACATTTAACATTTACTGGAACGGGAACACAGCACCAACACGGCCGCCATCCAGACCCGGGCTGGCCCAGTAGCCTGTATTACTCATTGAGCTGGGCGTTGGAATAATTCAAGTCGATTTATAGGTGCCAAGTCCCTGTAACATCTGAGGTGGGGGGGGTCATTTAAAAAGCTGACAGCTTACCTTCAGAAATCTGAACGACCTCCTCCTCCTGTTTTTCGTGACTGAGGGGGGAAGAGAGAAGTGACATTGTAAGAGAAAAGTAGAATGGCTGGTTCAAAAGGATATTTTGTCATGTCACTAAAATTGGAGACTGGTACCTGTGTTTACAGAAACACAGCACAGAGAGTAACAAAAGAGGATTGACCATTCTCAGGCTTCCCTGGGCCGGGACCCAATCCACATGGCATTACTGCTGCATTTCCCTCATGCAAGGACTGTAAATCAACTACTTACAATAAAACAGCCCCAATTAATCTCTGAAAACCTATCCTGACCCGTCGAAAAAATAAAAAAGTTGCAAACACTACGCTGGTGATGAAGCTGGGAAACTACTACTGGAAGGCATCAGCTCTGACACACAGCTGTTACCCACTTTCATAAAACCAGTTTAACTGAACTACAGCAATTGCCTACAGCTGTATACTGGACCAAATGTGGAGACAAACACATCACTCACACACTCTCTCTCTCTCTCTCTCTCACACACACACACACACACACACACACGCGAGGGCACCCCACGTAGATTATAATAATATAGCAGGTGAATAAACGACACGCCTCGCAGGACACTCACATAGGAGTCCTCGTTATTAAACGTAAACCAGAAATCCAAAGCGCTTTCCATACACACTAAGCATATCGCTAAGCAAACCACCTATAATCGGATTAACTTGCATGAATTAAGCGGTTCCTGGGCCACATGGGACACCCTCGGGTTTAAAATTATACTAAAGAAAACAAATAGAAAATTCTGCAGCTCCGGAGAAGTAGCGGAGAAAATGGTGGCCGGGCCACTGGGGGGATGGACAGACGGACACTGAGAGGGAGGGAGGCACGGCGACGGGGACGCGTCCGTACCTCGCAGCAGCGTCCAGACTCTGCTCCAGCATATCCATGGGGGTGGCGGTACAAAGCGCGGGGCCGAGGGATGCGGAGACGGGGGATGGAGGCGCCGATCACGGGGACAAACACTCGGGTCATGTGAGAGAGGCCGTCCGGGACACGTGAGGCGGACACCGGCCGATGAAGCAAGATGGATACCGCTGGCGGAGCTCGGCCGTCTGCTTCTACTTCGCGCGGTCTCCGACCCGTCCCTCCTTTGCGGGGGGCCCAGTTCACGTTGGCCCAGCTGCGTAGAGTGTCGCCTCGGTGTATTTTGCGCTGGCTGGGGGCTCGCTTTCCACCTTGGCTATCCCTCTTTTTCTTTTCGCTTTCCGTCCCGCCGTCGCCCTATCGGCTCGACCTGAGCACCGCGCAGTGCAGGAACGTATCCATCCGCGGGCGGCGGCAAAACACGGAGCGCGGAACGACGCGGGTTCGGGCTGCCTGCAACAGTTCGCTACCCGTTCTGATAGTGAAATTAGTATAAACATCAAAATAAGTGGCATTTCCCTTCCAGATTTTTGCGTCCGGTACGGTTTCGAAATGGTGGCGCATTAAAGTCTAATAATGTCACTGAAAGCAAATTTAGAATTTTGTCCCCGAAATGGTGTTGGTATGGGTGAATCAGGCATGTTCATCCTTATTTATCCTGGGTTGGCGACGCCAATAAAACGCATGGATCCCGGGGTGAACAGTTTCATACGCTAAAACGTCACGTCTCGCGTTTGCTAAATGTACGTTTTATAGAAAACGCATGACCACAAAGGAGGACGGTGGTCACGATGGTTTCCCCCAGCTGACAGCGCTGATCCAATCCGGGTTTTGGCGTGAACCACATGATGCGGATGAGAAATGAGCATTTTTGGTGGGATAAATATGTGAATCTGCTGCATTAAAACGCGGCATTGGACATGGACTGACATTTTGCGTGTGTGTTTTGTGTTTTCTTACCCTCAGTACCCAGTAATAATCGTATATAACTAAACCGTGTGACGCGCCGGAACTATAACGGTTCTGCCTTGAGAGACTGTCGAAGTACTGCGGCTGCTCCCTGGGTCAGACGGAGTGTGTCGGAGGCGCGCGGTTACGTGTGTAAATAAGGCGCAGCGCCGTTTTCAAAGCGCTACATATACGCATATAATAACGGCCTCAATACTTCTTAAAGTAATCCTAAGTAATAGACGGCTGGTATTCGCTAATTTTTGACCAATGGTCTTTCATTTCATGTTTGAGAAGCCTTTTTATAGGCTGGCATATGGTTTTATTGTTTCGTTTGTTGCTCGGTGAGGTTCATATACTAGCGTCGACTAACGGTTCCGTTCAGCATGTTTGCAGTTACATTCGATATCTCAAGAGTTTTGTCATGTACACAGGGTATACAGTGAAATGCAGCTCTATAAATAGACTATACTGTGAAAACAAAATGTACAAAATGTTAACTAAAAATGACAAAGAAAAAATATGTGTTCATACATGCGTATATATAAATATATGTGTTATATACATACTTTAACAGAAACATTGCAGGTTAAGTAAAAGCTTTCAAAACAGTAATAATCATTATCCAGATGAATTATTTAAATAATAAACTTTATGACCCCTAAAAGTACCCCCTGTTAACCATGCAATTGATAAACACTCCAGCTTAGAAGCACACTTTAAAATGTCTGTATTGGTCTCTGCTGTTTGAATGACCATCCATCTAATCATCTTCCAACTATAAAAACCTGACAATTTTAATGCTAAAAGGCAGGACGTGGAGTGATGTGTGGCTCTTTGGGTTAGGAATGTTCCGGAAGGTCTCCAGTTTGCATCTGATGGCTGACAGAGTAACCATATCATTGTTTGGTCCATTAGCAATGACTTCCACTTTCTCCAGGGGTGCTTACTGACAAGCTTTGCTATCACATGTCTGTTCCCTCCATGTTGTGTGGGTTTCACTCTTTTAAATGATTAATTACATTTATTCCCTGATGCAGTGAGGAGACATATAGAGTGCCATTGGTATATTGAGTAACATTGTTATCTTACATATCCCTGGTTGAGGGTTTGAATCACACTTGTATACTGTGCGTGTGGTTTCTGCATGTTCTCCTCCTGTTGACTGGGTTTCAAATAGCAGCCCAAATAACTGCAGTTTGGCATCTCATTCACCCTAAGTATGTGGACCCTGTGATGGACTAGCGTCCAATCCAGGGTGACCCCTTATGCCCGTGCTTCCTGGGAAAAGTTGGGAAATGCAGATTAGTCATGACAGTCCAGTGAATTACTGGTTATGGACAATAATCTAAAAGAAACCTTTTATTGCTACTAACAACCATACATTTATTTATTGCATTTAAGCACTATTCAGGAGCTAATTTAGATCTGCAATTTTTGGGCAAATTTATTTATGGCGCACATTGCGGAGTTTCCAGGCGTTGTATCAACAGATGTTTAACGAAGTTGACCTTTGCCCTAGATATGGATTCTCTACGGAGAGAGGAACCATTTTTTCGTGGTCGTTGTTTGCAACCAAATATGTAGGCGCACGCACGAAACTATTGGTTGGTCTAGTGCTGCTTTGGTCCTTACGCTTTAGCTCCTCAGATACCGATTGGATATTTCCTAAATTTGATTGATAGCTGGGACGTGAAGCATTTTTCATTGGTGGTGCTCTGGGGCGGATCCACAAGAGCCCGCCCCCTAATACCTCCATTGGTATCACGACGAAGTTCCTCCGGCTTGCTTTCCTTGAGCGAAACCTTGTGTATCTGTCTCTTTGGAACACATATGGCTGCCCGAGTTCTCGTCGGTGTTAAGCGGGTCATTGACTATGCAGTGAAGGTACTTCCCACGTTTTTGTTTCACCTTCATATGAGCGTCGGCCATTCGTCGTTTTAGGGGTTTTGGGAGAGCTAGGTGGCAAATAGCTGTTGCTATTGGGTCGGCGCGCAGCAAGGTCAGCAGCAAAACTGCCGGGTGTTAACTTTTTTTTGCAGTATTAACATAACAGTGTATAATAGCATGATTTTAACAATTATCTTTTACTGGATAAGTACATTTTAGAATGCATTAGTGAGCACCTAGGAATTGTTTTGCTTAAAATAAATAGACAATTCATCCGGTGTTGTGTGATCCCTGTGTATGAACACGAGCTGAAATGAACAGTAAGTAAAAAGGATATTTTCCGTAGTTGAACCTAAACCTCTTTGCTTTTTTGGGTTGTGTTTTGTGGAACCGAGGTTGCATGACGTGCAGGCGGTGTTTGCCTAAAGGTTTCTGTGCCGTTACCATGAATCCAGCTCTGCGTGCATGTTTTTTTTTAATCAATAATAGATCGCTTTGCTGAAACGTCCCATTAAAAGTTTAAGTCATTTTTGGATTCTTCGTCATAGTCGGTGTGGTCCTACAGTCAGCTGCCCTTATTATCTGACTGTATCTACTAAGTACACAAACCACGTCCTTAAAACTACAACTCTACCAGGTATCTCCCCCACAAACAATTATCAACCAGACGAGGTTGAAGTACACAAATAATGTGACGCGCAACAACAGGACGCAGACAATCAGTCTCCCCCTGCCCGGTGACTTAGGTACTGTATGCTACATATCAGTCTGTAGTTATGCTACTTGTACGCTAACTGGTTTGGAAGGGAGTTTGCCTGGCGATTGAATTGTGAGCTTAATTTAAAAAAACTGCACTGAATTTGCCTGATATGATCTTCCGGTTACTTTAATAACTGAAAATTTAACTCCATCTGAAGTACTAGTTGGGCAGAGTGGTGGTTTATGATGTTATTCGCATTAAAATGGCCACAAAGCTAGTATTTCACTCCTACTGAAGACCCTTAGTGAGGTATCGCATTTATGAATGCCACTAAGCTGTAGAGTCATCAGTGGATTGTGCTGCAGGGAAGTCTTTCAGCTACACTGGCCTGGAGATCAACCCTATTGAAATTGGTTTGTAGTTTCATGACTGGATCCTTCGTTTCTCCTGTTTTCTTGGCCATTGGTTTTATTCATAGTTATTGACCGTTTTGCCTGATATTATTAAGAGTGTGATGCATCTTAGCGTTTAAATAGCATCTCTCAGCTTACAAGTCTTTAGGCACAGTTGCCATCTGTTGCAAGAGGTTCATTATCCACAGACCCTGACGACTGCAGCTATAGGCCTTGTGTCACGGCAGCATGCTGGAGGGGGGGTGCCTGTGCCGGCTTCCCACCCCCTGACGAGCCGCTTGCCCTCAGGTCCGCGTGAAGCCGGACAACACCGGCGTGGTGACAGATGGCGTGAAGCACTCGATGAACCCCTTCTGTGAGATCGCCGTGGAGGAGGCCGTCAAACTGAAGGAGAAGCAGCTAGTAAAGGAGGTGGTGGCGGTCAGCTGTGGCCCCCAGCAAGTGCAGGTGGGCTGGGGGCGTCACTTGGTTTACGGAGGGCCATCTCTACAGCTCTGTGAACAAATATGTCTTGCTGGTTACTTGTGGTGAAAATGATCCACATGAATTCTCTTTCAGTCCTGTTTTCTCCTGCCCGGTGTCTGTCTGCGTTTTGTGCATCCTGTGAGTATTCATGTTTATGGCCATGATTGCATGTGGCGTGTAGGAGACCATCCGCACGGCTCTGGCCATGGGGGCGGACCGTGGCATCCACGTGGAGGTGTCTGGGAAGGACTACGACGCCTTGGGTCCTCTGCAGGTCTCCAAGATCATGGCCGCTTTGGCCAAAAAAGAAGAGGCCAATCTGATCATCCTGGGCAAACAGGTACCTGCAGTCCTGCACGTGATGGACACGTTCTAAGGTTCTAAGTCTCCAATTCAGCCTGAAGCTTTTCGGTCTATGCTGTGGACTTTTTTTTACAGGCAATCGATGACGACTGTAATCAGACGGGCCAGATGACTGCCGCCCTGCTGGACTGGCCTCAGGTCTGCAGGTTTCTAATCTTTTGTTGGCCTTCTGGGAAATATGGGTCTCCTGAAGCTTAGTTGAATAGATGGAATTGAAATCATTGATAAATCTCACCTTATCTTGTTTTCACACCTCTAGCCTCGCACAAACTAAAAACCTGAGTGAAAGGGGAATTTTGTTTACAAAAAAGTATCAGTCATTTTGCTTTCTCTTGTCACATTCCAAAAGTACTATGGGTATTTTTGTTGGATGGGGGTGCAGTTACATTGTGGAACCACCAGAGGGACAGATTTGGTTTATTTGGTGTCCATAGTTTTAAGGTGACACAGACTGGGTTCTGTTTAATATAACTTATTACTAGGTGTGAGAATGAGACTGGGAGACGCATGTGAGGCTGAGATGATTGCGCTGCCATTCAGTACAGAATTTTTCCCACGGCAACTATCATACGGCTCACAGTGTACACTAGCTGTCAAAGTGCTGACAGCCATATGACCAGCCCAAATTTATTTTTACATATATTTAGTTAATTTTATAAACTGTTGTTGTATGTGCGAGTAGTCCAAAGTGGCACAGGTTGGGGACAGTCTCTAAATCAGATGATGTATTTGGGCATTGATCTGTTTCATGTATAGGGAACGTTTGCCTCTGTGTGAAACCGGCTGCTCTCTCTCAGGGCACTTTCGCGTCTGAGGTGGTCCTGGAGGGTGACAAGCTGAAGGTGGTGAGGGAAGTTGACGGCGGCCTGGAGACAGTGAAGCTGGACATGCCGGCCGTGGTGACAGCGGACCTGCGGCTCAACACCCCGAGATATGCCACTCTGCCCAACATAATGGTAATGGGGGCCATTCCCTGCATAGATTCCATATGCACTACCAGTATGGGAAACCAGTCTGTCCAGTATGAGGCTTAGTCATCATACGTGGACCTTGAATTTTTACTGGTCAAAATTAAAATGTAAATTTAAATTCATCTTCAATATGAGTTTTTACTAATGAAACTTGAATTTTAAATAAGGGAGGCAAAAATTCAATGGATGTCAATGGAAATATATTACTAGTAAAAATTGAGTTATAGATACCAATAATGAGACTTTTCACTAATAATACAGTTCTTATTATTAGAAATGATTTATACTAGTCAAAATTGAACTATAGATATCTGAAATTCATACTTTTACTGGTCAACTTTGATTTTTTTACTAGTAAGAATTATCATATTTAAGTTCTGCTTATCCTATTAAAAGACAATTTGGATTGCCATACTACCGTAGTTTTCTGTCAGCATGGTTCATACCCCGGCTGGACTGAGCTGTGGCCTGGTCTTCTATATTTTCTGCACGCAGAAGGATGTGGCTGAACGAGAAGGAAAGCATGCTCGTGTGGAACACATTGGTTAGTGTGGATTAATAGTACAGATCAACTCCTCTTCCTTCTCCCAGAAAGCAAAAAAGAAGAAGATCAGTGTGGTGAAGCCAGGGGACCTAGGTGTGGACGTGGCGTCGCGTTTGGAGGTGCTGCGGGTGGAGGAGCCTCCCCAGCGGAAGGCAGGGGTCAAGGTGGAAACTGTGGAGGATCTGGTCTCCAAACTCAAAGAAGGTGGAAGGATATAGAGGCACAGGGACAGACTGGGAGGTAAATGGGTCTAAACAAAGCTGTATTTGAGGGGAAGTAAAATAAACAAATGACATTAAAATTCAGGCATGGTTCTTACAGCCAGGGATTAGCAGAGGTAGGCGTAGCCAGGAGGTTCTCACAGAAAGAATGTTGCCTTTTAGAAATGTCTGGCGGGCTGCTTCCCCAGGCCTGCACAACATGCGATGACGATATCGGCATTGTATGTTATGTACACAGTTGTTATGTCGCAATGGCTACAACACTCAGCTGGGTGGATACTGTGAATAAGTAAAGCTAAGACAATCATTACCATTTTTGTCCTTGCTGTTTGACTCGCTCATAGACAGTAGCGGCTTTAACGAAAACAAGGAGAAAAGTGATTAAGAACTGGTCAGCAAAAGATGTTAATCTTCTGTTGTATGGAAATAATTTGTATTCCATAGAGACGATGTTGAGCAAAAGCGAGTGATTTGTCAACACTGTTTTGTGTCTGTTGGCAACTCACCAACTTATTTGACAGACACTGTTGGTAGATTATAGCCAAATGAAATATCGTGACATTTATCGCAAAGATATCAAATATCGCAGCATAAATCTTTTCCAGTTTCATTCACCCTGCGCCCACGCTGATATTTCTGTGTGCTGAGAGGAATCAGATATGGCTGCAAACAGACAGGCTGCAGGTGCAAGCAGTCTCATTGTTTCTCTTACAGCTTTGGCTGCGGTTTTTTAAACATAGATGGAAAGAAGATGTGGAGGGGGGGGGGAAACCAGCCAGACCGGCAGGATGACTCACAATCAGGCCGATTGGACTCCTGTGCATCCTGCTTCTCTGTGTGCCTCGTTGTCTCCCTCTGAATGCTGAAAGTGACAGCGCTGCTGTTAGCTGTCCCACGGGGGGGGGGGGGGGTGAGGATTAGGGTGCCGTCTGCCAGCCAACCCGAGTGCGTCTGAGTGACACCATACCTCTGTACCCCTCTGTGTTAGGTCCAGCGCCCCACAGGGAGAATAGTATCTATTGTCTGTCACTGTGCCACATTAAACATTCATATCTGTCACGGTGACAGATTAATAACTTTCCTCAGACTGTCCCAGTGAAATGTTGTGTACAGTGAATGCTTGTGGATTAGTTCCCCCTGCACAGTGTCTCCCAGGATGTAACTGCCTGACACTTTAAACATAAGCACTATTACTGGAGAGTGACAATAAAGCTTAACTGGTTTTCTTTCCTATGTAAAACCTAAATCCTTAAGTGTGTTTGGCCAACCGTGACAGGAAGAGGTAGCGGCCATCTAACTGGGGGAACGACTTGCCCAGCTGGGACTGCTGGGCGACGTCAACAGATGTGACAATGACAAGTAACCCAGACACGCCTCTACATGATCCACTGCATCCAGCATATGTTCTCCTGCCCATTCTGGCGGGTTCTTTTGTAGGAGTATGACGAGGTGGGAGTAGACTGCCTGCACCTTGCTTACACCACCTGTTACCACTAACCTTGTAGTAAAGTACACAGGAATTCATTGTGCTGGACGTATATATACCATCAAGTTTTGTAACTTTAAAATGTTAGAAAAATATCAACTGGCACCAGAGGCCCTCCCTCCCAGACAAATTGCGCTGTGGGAGCACAAAAAAAAAGTCAGAGAATGGGGTGCTTAAGTATTACTGCTTATGCGTGTTCAGACTGTATGAGGCTCGGGTACTTGATACAATGTTAGGTATGTGACACATTTACGACTGGTAGGTCAAGTGATGCTGAAGTATTTTAAAATTGGAGTCCATTGACGAAAATAAGAGATGGCAGGCAAAATTGTTGAACTGCGCTCTCGATGAAAGGAAGAAACCAGTCACACGAGTCGAGTGAAACCTAGATATGGAAACACGAACAGATCGAAACTTCAATATTATCAAAGCACGGTTTATTACGTAATGTGCCCGCATGGGTACACGCAATTTGTTCATATTAAACGAGTACTAAACTCATCCCATGCGCCAGTGCTATCGGTTACTTAAGTCGGGCTGCATGCTTTTTGCATTGTATTCGACTGGTGTGACAGAATACAAGATACAGTGATTCCCCGCTAGGCCTGTATCGCGGATTTTTCCCCGACGCATCACAGTTCTCTGCGGTGTGTGTGTGTGTGTGTGTGTGTGTGTATACAGCGTACAGGGTTCTGTAGCGTCTACCAGATGGCAGAGGTGTAAAAAGTTTATTATGATTATTATTTATTATTAGTTACTATTATTTATTATTATTATTTATTAGAGTTCATTATTATGTTACTCATATCCTTAGCCGGACATCCACATATCATGTGTGTTTACAAAGTGTATTTTAATAAGTTACATGTATTTAAAGCGTGTGGGAGGGGTATTTTAAGGCTTAAACTATAAAAAATGTTTGTTTATATGGTATTTCTATATTGCAGATTTTCACCTATCGCTGATGGGCTTGGAACGTAACTTCCGCGATAGGCGAGGGATCACTGTATATCCAATATATTAAAATTGATATCTGAAGATGCCGCGCTTTAACCAATATGTGGGTGCGGAGGGCCCAGGACGGGTTGCTAACCCATCGCATCATTCTCGTTCATTTATTGGGATATTTTGGAATTTGTTCTCAAAACCCCTCATTAAGCCGAACAGACATCAAGCTTTTTTTTTTACCTAAGACGACTGAAAGACAGACTCACGCTCAGTTTCAAAGAAATCAGAATGAAAGCAACAACGCTGGAATAATGCCATCAATTGAAATAGGTGTATTACTGTATATATCACGAGCGGAAACATTACATAATTGCATGAATCCCTACAAATGCATCACTAATATCTAAACCAAAGATCAATCAATCATCACATCTAGTGCCAAACAAACCCATGTTGTTACTGCCCTGCAAAAAAAAGGAGACAAGGTAATTTTCACTCTGGATACCATACCCGCTGTTTCGCGATCCTTACAGAACTGGGCAGATCCCATGCATGCATACTGCGAGGTCATGCGTGCAACCAGGTGAGTTCCGCGTTGCCAGGTGGAGCGAGGCGGGGCGGTATTTTAACACGCACGCCTGAAAGAAATTTCGTAGGAGACTGTATGTATGTAAGGCAGATATGCGTGAAGATGCCGGCAGTTCAGCTGCGGATAAACTGATGTTTCGGTGATCAGAGAGACCTGAAGTTTAAAACCGCGATGCCGGTCGATCGCAAACAAGCCCTTCGGCGCCTTTGCTGGGGAGTCTTTACCACTTTACTGTTTGCAGGTAAAAAAAAATAAAAATCCCTCACCGTGTTTTCGTTATTGAAGCTCTTAAGACTGGGCTCCTGCCATAAGATTGGCGTATTGGTATTCTGTTGGCATAAAACAGCGTGGACTGGGAGGACTCACTGGACGTTAAAAACCGGGTTTTTCAATGCTTTTAAATTTAGTATTTTGAAGGTTTACAACTAATATTGTTATTGACTAATTTGGTGAGTATATGAAAGCCAAGTTTTTTTTTGATCTGCTAGGTAGGTCTATTATTATTGGCAGTGAATGTAGCTTACATTTAGCCTAATTATTAAGAACATATATCAATGACTGAATTTTTCTGACTCCCACGTAGGTTCTGCAGATTGCGACCTAAGTCTCGCAGTCCAGAGCCCCCCTATGGTCATTGCCAAGGCTGGTAGCAATGTAATTCTGAACGTGTCCTTCGCTGGAGCCCAGAATCCCTTAATACAGTGGTCTGCGGGCGCATTGCCTATCGTGACCTGGGTGGTGAGCCCCAATACCCTAGACATCGCCCCTAATTACGCGGGCGTCGTGTCGCTGATGCCCAATGGCTCACTCGTCTTCAGCAACGTACAGAAGAATTACAGTGACACTTACACCGTGAGCGTCACGAAGTCTGGTTTTTTATCGATGACCGCCAGTATCACTCTCCTAGTCTTTGGTAAGTACGCCGAGGCTAGCCGATCGGTTGCATGAATTATGATGCTTGAGTTTGAGCAAAATAATTTGTTCTTTCAAATACTATATTTAAATCCATTCCGCCGCTGTTGTGTTTTGCTATGTCGAAGCAGTTTGCCTCTGGTAATTGTGACAAATCGCTCAGTATCCCAAAATTAAGTGGTTTCCAAGAACAAAAGACTGAAAATCAGCAGATTATGATTCCTTGAGCGTCATTCTCAAGCAGCANGAAGTGCAGCTTTAACTCGTTTTAGTTACGTATTACTGATGGAAATGACCTGAAAACGTGAAATCCGAACTGCAAGGAAACTGGTCAATAAATACCCACCATTAAAAAGGGATTCCACTATTTGATTTTCGAATGTTTCCACCTGCAACGTCTGTGGTTGTATGTGTATACAAAACAAAACTGCATATATAAGTTAAAACACTGGACCAGGCAGATGAGAGTAATGGCACAGAATGTAGGTAGGGAAGGATATAGTGGGACTGAAATACTTTAAAATGAGGAAAAAGTCACTGAAGTGGGGGAAAAAGAAGAGGAAAGGAAGACTGCTTGGAAAAAGGATAAAACTGAATACTTGCCATCCAAAAACAAAGACACCCATCTTCCAAACAGCTTATTCTGGTTGTGGGGGAAGTTGGGCTGGAGTCTGTCCCAGGCAGCAGAGGACACGGCTGGTGTATACTGTGGGCGCCATGCCAGCGCTGTCGTCATGCTGTTACACTGTGTTTTGAAAGACATATTTTCATTCACTGCACCATAATCAACACGGAAGTATCTATACTGGTTATCAGAGAGCTTGTCTTGTTCTAACTGCCTTTATGGGACACAGAGAGGCTTTCTGGACTCCTTCTGCAGCCTCTCAGATACAGATGCTACTCGCTTTATAATGGTTTGACTTACGATATCTTTACGGTGCACAGTCACAGTAGTCAACAAATTTTGAATTTTGATCTGTTCCCGGGCTTGCGATACGCAGTGCACTATTCTACACTGTTGCTGGGTGACAGCAGCATTCACCCAGCCATGCTTCCACTCTCTGTAGTCATTGTGAGCATAAACGGGTTTAACAATGATGCATATTTCCCCCTGCGTTTAACCATTTTTTCTGAAGCCCATTATATTTGCTAAACCCCCAAGTGTGTCCTATGATTTCATATTCGACTTGGAATATTTGGTAACACTTTACTTGAAGCAGTCTACATAAGGGTGACATGTAGCCATCATAAGAATGACATGACGCACTTGTGATAAACATCACTGTTGTCATAATGTGTCATTCGGTTTCTGGAACTGAATGACAACAGTCATAAACATCAATAATGTGTCATTAATGTGCATGACATGTGCCATGTCATTCTTATGACGGTTACATGTCACCCTTATGTAGACTACTTCAAGTAAAGTGTTGCCGAATATTTTGAACTTGCAATGAGTTCATCGGAGCTTAACCCCATCATGGGCAGAGGAGCTTCTGTATTTGGCTTCCACACGGTGCTACGCTAGTGGTGCACAGCTTCAAAGTGCAGAAATTCGTTCTGCCACATTTTTTCTTGCCCGTTAATTGGATCCATTTAATCAGTTTATTACCTCACCTAATCAAAGCATGAGTAAATGGGCTGGATAAGAGCTGATAGCTCTGTGTTTTAGTGAGTATTTCTGAGATTTTCATTTTCTTCCTCTACAGCCCCACCTGTGTGCTCGGTTCAGAGTGCAAATACAAATCTGAATTACACCTGTCAGACGCCAGGAGACACCATTTCAATACTGTCCATCTCACAACTGAACAAGACCTTCTCTACGAGTGGGAGCTTAAGCCTTGTAGTACCACCAGCTCAAAATCTCAGTGGAATGGCAATCTCTTGCATTGCTAATCAGATTAACATCACGCAAAGCTGCAGCGTGACAGCTCGTAAGTGCATGGTTGGCAGGAATGTAAGCACAGAGTATAGTATAGAGTATGTATTGTACATCTGTTCAGACCTCTTGTTACCATATATCATGGGCAGGTAGTGGCAGTTCATTAAGCAAGGGTTAAATTAAGGTTAAACAATTGTATGTTTTAAAATGCAGAGCTGCGGAGGCTTAATTATCTTAGCTAGTTGATGACCAATAAGGTTTGGGCAGTATTACAGTAATATGGTATTGTAGATGTTCGGGGGGGGGGGGGGGCACCGGTGCTCTGGACTGTAATTGCCAAGATATCAAAATACCACAGTAGCATTGCTGCTGAAAATACTGACAAAATACCATATGGTATAATGTCTAGATGGTATGACAGTATGGAAAATAATATACCGCCCAGACCTATTCTCCATCCAGCTGACTACCACGCATCATGAAATGACAGTTGCATGTGCATGGCTGCAGTGTTAATACTGGCATTGTTCATTGTGCAGGTCTACTAGGAATATGACAGTCTGTCCATAAGAATGAGGGATGGAGCTAAATTATAACAAAAGACTAAAGGAAGTACATCTGTATGCTTTTAGTGGTTTGTTACTTCAGAGAGTATTTGTACCCTGTTTGACACACAGTCATGTTCTGGTCATTGTAGAAGCCCCTCAAGGTGTTGCGCCCACGGTCTCAAGCACGTTGAGCAATGGGAACCTGGTGGTCACCATCACCTGTGCCATCGGGTCTGTGCCAGCAGCCAACATCATCTGGTTCAAAGGTTCTCAGGTCCTGTCAAACGGAGGGCCGTATCAGATCAGCAGTGACACCACACAGCTGAACATCACCAGGTTGAACCTGACTGTGTCTGACCTCAGCAACTACACCTGCAAGCTCAGCAACCCTTTTGGACCTCTACAGAACAGCATTCAGCTGATAGGTAGGAAGATGATCTGTAGCACAAACATAACGCAGATTCATCATGACTCTGAGGGTCTCCTCCAGCACCAGGAGCAGGATCTTCTCCTTACTGCTGCTCTCCTCCCTACAGGCCCCACAATCTCAGATTCCAGCCTTATCTCCAACACTGCAGGCACCATGGTAACGCTGACCTGGGATGTCCCCAGCACCTCTGTGTTCACAGGTAATACAACAGGAAGAAATGGGACTGTTAATGTACAAAGGACAGAATTCTTTTATCATCAGTCTAATTGGGTGTAAAATTGCTTCTTGAATATTAATGTCATAAATGCACAGGGCGTGTGTTCTATTGCTCAGTCACTGTTTCCACCCCTCTGTGAAAAGGCTTTAATATCCAGATGGAGGGACCTGCTCTCCAGCCCAGCAATGGGACAAACCAGCGTAGAAAACGGGACACAGGAGGTTTCCAAACCATAGCGGTGATGCCAAGCAGCGCCCGGAGCAAACAGATCTCTGGGCTTGACCCCAAGTCCAACTACTGGTTCTGGATCGTCCCCTTGGCAGGCAGTGTCACCGGACCGCCTTCACAGAACTACAGTGTCGGACCAGGTGAGCCTTTCCGACTTTGAGGACAGTGATTCAGCCAATGACAAGCCCTTAATGGGAAGGGTTTTCTGTAAACCAGGTATCCACAGTAAATAAGGCTTATTTAGCTGCTGTAAATAATGGCATTTCTGTGTTTATCCTGCCTAAATGCATCCATGCTACCTCACCCAGTTCAGAAGCAAATATTTTTCCAGGATCCTGTTGAATCTGTTAATGGTCAGGAATGAGAATGCAGATTCTCGTATGATATGATACATGAGGAATTTTCCTTTGTCTCAAAGTCTTATACGCTTCCAGTTCCAGGCCAGGGACTGAGCAAGGCGGCCATCCTGGGCCTTGCTATCGGAATACCCTGTGGTTTCCTCCTCCTCCTCATCATCATCGCTCTCATCATCCTCTGTGTCGTCTGCTGCAGACGGAGACGTGAGACCTTTTTTAACATAATGCTTGGGCCTCCTCTTCTTGTTACTCATAGTGAGAGCTGTTCGTTCTTTGTTTTGTAGGCCGACAGCAAACGTATCCTCCCCCCGGGGCTTCTGAGAAGGTAATCTGTACTCCTTTCCCGTTAAACTGATAAATTAGAACATTAAATGCTTTATTTTCCTTGCGTCACCTATGGCCACAATGGTTACTGTACTATTACTGCCTGAGTGATGATGGTATTTATTCAAAAGCAGATCAGATAAGTACACTTCAATAGACTGTCAATGTAAGCGATATATTTTATCATTTATTATTGCTAGGGGGTGGTTGTAGCTTAGCAGGGTAAACCTCTGTGCCTGTGATCTGAAGGCTGCCTGTTTGAATCCCATCCTTGGTAGAATAGTCACAACTCCATTGGGCTCTTGAGCCCCACAAAAATGCTCCAGGACTGCCACATTAATGGCTGACCCCATGCTTAGATCCCAATTTTTGCTCGCTCTATCTATCTGTCTGTCTATCTGTCTGTCTGTCTATCTATCTGTCTGTCTGTCTGTCAACGAACAAGATGGGTTACAAAGAAGCACTACAAATACCAGTACTTCTGCAAATGAAACTTCATTATAACATTGAATTTTTTTCTAACCGCTTTGTTTTGTCATGATACTTTTTAACATTTTCCCTTTTAACTACATTTAAACCACCCCAGACCACTTTGTCTTCTTATTAGTGAGTCAGTTACATAGAGGCACGGCTCAATGAAAAGGCTGCGTCTGAGTGAATGTCGCTGGAGTCACTCAATGTCGCCCCCTAATGGTGCTGATTAGTCTGTTCAGCCGATAACGCAGGATCACTAACGAGAAATGCTGTGATCACTCAGGTAGTGACAGGCCAAACCAATCTGAACACCCCGCATAATCTGCTCACTGGAGGAATTCAAAATGGGTCTCCTGTCAAAAACCCCAAGGTATTTCTGGGTGGAAATGCCCGTTTTTCTTGCCCTTGTTGGACACCTCCCTGTGGGTGGTACAGCTCTCACTCCTGTGCTAACCATTCTCCTTTCTCTCCTAGGGAATCCCGGAGCGACAATTCCCCCTCCCCTCCACAGGGACGCTTTCCCCTATGCGGATGGCCACAACTGTTTAATGAAGAAAAAACTCTTCTGTCTTGCACTGATATTTTGATGTTTTTATATTGACAGAAATGTATATCTAGTATTATGGTGTTCTTTCTATTGTAATGATTTGTATTGCTACATTTTATAAATAAATACCTCAACATTAAGTACAAGTTTAGTCTATTGTTTGATTTGTAAAAAATATACTACTTCTACAGTGAGTATCGGCATTGCCTTCTTGAAACTCTAGAAATGTATCCTTCAAACATGTCATCCTATCCAGAAAGTGTGTGAAAACTGGACATTATTCAGTGCAGTAATTCTAGATGTGATTTCTGACAGTCAGGAGTCAACTTGAAAATGACAGGTGGTGGTAGTGGTGTTTTTAAGTGGAAGTATAGTTGTTATTATTTGAACTCACGTGATTATTTTAAAAAAGTATGATTAACATATTGGATTATGCTGTTTTTCCTATCATAAATTTTAAAAAGCAGGATGCAAAATTTTTGATTTTAAGAGGTGTCATGACAAGATTACATTACATTACAGTCTAAACAGCACTGAACATCCTGAACATCCAGCAATACACAACTTCTACTTAAAATTCTCCATTTTAAAATTCATGCTGAACTTCCTTGGACCAAGTTCCTGGGCCCTTCCTGACTGGGAACTTTTTTGGCTCCTGGTGCCAAGTTCCTGGACCCTTCCTGACTAGGAAGTTTTGTGGCTCCTGGTGCTAAGTTCCTTGGAACTTTTGTGGCTCCTGGTGGTGGTTCCTCTTTTCGCAGGAGAAAGGGAAGTCTGTCCCAAAGCTTGCCATTGTATTTGTACCTTACACCTTAATGAAGGGAACTTCATTCAGCTGTGTGTGACTAGAAACAGAGTGGAGAGGGTCTAGTTTGGTATTAGTGTGTATTTTTTCCTAGTGGGCCATTGTGCGTAGTGTGTGATTTCAGATGCAGCCTGAGTGACCATTTTGTTATCTTTAACTTAAGATCGATTGTTAATTATCATGCTTTTCCAAAAACCCTTCGTAACTAAAGTAGCTTATCTCGTTCGTAGATTTACTAGTGCTCCAACCCGCTATTTTCTATGCCGTTGTTTATTTGAACTTTTGCCTGCTGTCCTGTCACAGAGACAGAGGTCTGCCAGAATAGATGACCTTCATGAGAGCGGAACTGGCTGATATGCTACACCAGTTCAACATCGTCCATACTTACAATATCCTCATCTAGCCAACTTCCCCCAAAGAACACGTCGCGCATGTTTGACAAGTTCTTTAACAGGTCTGTGACCCTCTCCTTTTCATCAAAGGTGAGAAATGTAAGTTCCACTGGTCACCAATCAAGCTTTTGGGATACCAGATCCAGTCCCAGACCACCAAGGACCTGCAGCACTTACTGGGGTTCACAAAATTTTATCAGTGCTTTATAAGGGGGTTCAGCTCAGTCGCCACCCCACTGACTGACCTGATATGGGCCCAACAAACCACACTCCTGAGGACAAAGCCACCTTGCAGGCCTGAAAAATGTCTTCTCCTCTCTGCTGATCCTCCAGCAGCCAGACCCTTTGATTCCCTTCAACGTCAAGGTGGATGCTTCTGAGGTAGGAGATGGGGTCGTCCTCTCACAGTGTCAGACACCTGGAGGACGCACCCATGAACCTTCTCAAGGAAGCTCATCCGGGTGGAGTGAAGCTACAACATAGAGAATTGGAAGCTCTTGACAATCAAACTGGCCCTGGAGGAGTGGTGACACTGGTTAAAGAGAGTGGTTCACTCCTTAAAAGTCTTGACTGACCATCGGAATCTGTAGTACCTCAAATCAGCCAAGCAGTTTAATGCCCATCAAGCCTGATGGGCACTCTTCTTCACTTGTTTTGGTTTCAAGGTTTGTTGTATTCCGCAGTCAAAGAAAGCAGAAGCCGATGGCTTGATTCCGCCAGTTTGACTCCAACCACTCCCTACACGAGACCATCCTTGGTCACAAATTTCTCTAGACTTCATCACCAATCTCCTGGCTTCTCAAGGCAACATAGTGGTTCTCACAGTAGTGGACAGATACTCCAAGATGTGTCGGCTTATACCACTCCCATCAGCCACTGAGCTAGCCGATGTTCTGTTCCCCTGGGTGTTCTGGTATTATGGGGTACTTGAGGACATGGTAGTGCTGGGCTATAAAATGATCTCGATTTTTTATCGATAAAAAATTAGGACAATCACGATGATACACACAGACTATAAAACTCGATCAACCAAGTTTGCTCAGTTTTAAAGAATGTTTCTGAGACAGACAACTCGATGGCCTATTGCCTAACGAACAGAGGTTTACTGAACGCCAGCACAACAGCCAATCACCAACGACGTTGTAATTTTGCCCAATGGGTGCGTTCGACTTGCGGCTGACGTGACGTGCAGCGAGATCTGCCAGCAGCTGCAGGGGTGGAGTATAAACTGACTGCAGCCAAGTCGTATAAGTTCTACTCCTCGTAGTCTGCGAGACATGACTGCAATGGCAGCACTGTCAGAAGGGTGTAGATAAATCTATACAAATATCACCTGCATGCACATTACTTCTTTTACAATAACCAACTCCTGATATAAACTGTTAGCAATGAATAAAACTATTGCGTATATATAGTGGCTCTGTGTAAAAAGATAGCTGCCAGGAAAAAAATCAAATACATGTATTTCAAGGATTCAAACTTTTATTGTCATGTACAGAGTACAATGCAATTCTTCCTTGAATGCCTTCACAGAATGATTAAACAAATAAAGCAGCGCAACATTACAGTAACTAACAATAAATAAACCACTAACTTACGTGTACTGTTAGAGCATTCATGTCATTTATTCAAACCTTATTTTACCAGGTAAATTAACTTAAAACCAGTTCTCACTGCTTTACGTGCTTTTCGGGAGAAATAGCAGATAACGCATTGGAACTTCCTGGGATACAAACGTCATGCGTGAGTCTGTCATATCTGAGTCATTCCACGTTTTTCTACCACGCCCCCCTCGTGAGAAAACAGTGACATCAGACCCACCTGAGTAGAAACACCTGCTCCACTCCTCACTTAATCCTGTTCTGCCTCACGTTCAGTGCGAGGTATTGTTGATTGCATATGAGACTTACCAAACGTTTTTCGGTACCGCTTTCCATGCAACGAGAAAGAGAAGAGGGAGTGGCTGTGTAAACTAAAAAGCCATTTTCACAATTTTTCATGTTTAGTATTGGGATGCAAAGGTACACAAAATTCAAGGTTCAATACAAACCTGGGTTTTGCATTCACAGTTCGATGCAATTTCTATACAGCAGGGAAAACAGAATTTGTTCTGAGATTATTAAAACCACTAAAACAATTAGGAAAAGTTGTAAACCAGAGGCTATGTTTATGTATGATGACACACTTTGTCAATTTGTACAATTTGTATGTCGTAAAAAAAATAGAAAATATAATATCATTAAAATCATAATGAACTAAATCCCGTGTTCTCTATTACCGACTATGGTCACCTATCTGTAACTAAATTTGCTTAAATGTCACAGGGAGACTAATTTGCAGAGGTTGTACCTAAATTTGCTTAAATGCCATGGGAAGATTGACTTGCAGAGGCTGTTTCTGCCTTGCTCCGGTCTGGTCGTACACACACGAATGATGTCATCTCAGCAACATATTTCAATTCGGTATAACACCGACGGACAGTCTCGGTTTTATCAAGTACTCTCTCCAGTGTTGGTGTAATATATTATCAAATCAAAATGTTCCCAAATCGCCAATTATGATGGACTGTAACCAGGATTTACCGTAGCATATACACATACCGACAAATAGGAACTAACGGTCAAGTTAAACAGACAGAATTGAAATGAACTTCCTTTAACTAATGGGTTCCCACCTGCAGATTGTAAACGGTCAGCAGATGGCGATAGTACGCTATGTACTTCAAGTCTCCTATTTATGGAGTATGCGGCATTTTCCTTAATATTTGTGAATCTGTGAGAGCAGAGCTGAGCATGAGTTGTCTCCTGTTGAAAATTCAACCAACGTATTTCACAGATAATTGTTTCCATCAATAAAAATATGGCACCAGAACGTCCCATTGTTTGATTTCTATGTTCACTACAGTAGAAGTATGACAGACCATGCTGTTTACTGAAGCCAAGGATCTTATAATAACGTGGTCTGTGGGTAAAGTGCTTATCTTGAATGTGTTTGTGCGCATATACAAATGAATAGGCAGATGAGAGTATACAGACAGAGAACACAGGTAATGAGAGATATAGTGAAAAGTTAAATACTTCTTGGCAGAAGGATAAAACTTGATACTTTTCCTCTATAAACAAATAAACCCATATTTTGATTCAATCCAATGCTAGTATTGCCGATATTAATCTCCATACCAATATAAATTTTCAAAATGAAAAAGAATCAGTATTTCAGTATCCCTGTAATATACCGTGGATAAGGTGTCAGCATTTTCACCATGATGTTACACCATGTTTTGAAAGACAATACGTTGGTTCACTACACCCTGACCAACACAACAGCATGTAACTTAGGCGATGTGGCAGGTGACGTCTGTAAGACTCTGTCAAATGTAGAACGGTTATCAGAGAGCTTGTCTTCATAAACTACCTTTATATGACACACAAAGGCTTCCTGGTTGTTAGTATTAAAGTTCTGCAGCCTCTTTCAGATATTTCGTTCCCGCACTGCGCTGTACCACTGGCCCCCACCTTCACATTTGAAGTGCAGAAATCCATGCTGGCAGGGTGACACATCTTCAGTCATAAAGGACTACAGCCCTGAGGAAGAGCTGATGCTGCAGAGCAATGCTATCGAAACTG